GTAGTAAAGTTTGTTGTTTTTCGTGACGAAGTTTTACGCCGCGACAAAACGATTTCTTTTTTGTAAAAACTTGAAAACGATTGACCGCGAGWTGGATTTCATTGCATAAGTGTGAAGGCGGAATTAAGGAAAGCATCAGTAAAGAAAAGTTTGTTCGTGACATCTAAAGTTTATGAAAATCAGGAAGAAATGTGATTTTATGTAGTGCGTTATCTCAATTATAATTTTTGCTCCTAGGATTATCGATAATTTCGAGTACTACTTCGTTTGTCTATAAGCTGTCATCTGTGGCTTGTGAATTATGGAGTAAGTGACATGTTGCTGACACTGTTATCGTAGCTATACGAGCTTTTCTCATAGCGCCATTTATATGTTTACAAAATTTTAGGTTGACTGATGAACAACAGAAAATTTTGGAAGTGGCGCTCAAGGGACATAATTTGATAATAACCGGTAGAGCCGGTACAGGAAAGTCTTTTGTTGTAGATGAGATTGCAAGGATCTTGAAAACATGTAAAAAAAATGTTGTAGTACTCTGTTCCAGTGGCTTAGCATGCACTGTATATGACAAGGGGGTGGCCAAGACCGTGCGTTCACATTACGGTTTACAGACGGCAGATTTACCATGGCGGATGGTTGTAGAAAGAGCGACTAGTCATGCTGATCTTTGCGAAAGAATACTTAAATCGGACTGTATTATCTGGGACGAGGTGAGCATGACTAGCGCAAGAACATTAGAACTCGCAAACGTGATGGAGCATGTCATCGCTGAAAATTGTTATCCCTTCGCATCAAAACAAATCATTCTCGTTGGCGACTTTTTTCAATTGAAACCAGTTCCTGATGTTTTAGATAGTGGTGACTTTGTATTCACTTCTCACATCTTTAATACAGCTTTTCCGCATCGATTTGAGTTGACAAAGATCTTACGACAGAGTCATGAAGACGTGGAGTTCCTAGATGTTCTAAACGAGGTCAGACTTGGAAAGTGTGCAGAGAAAGAACTCGAGTACATCACTTCGAACCTGTCAAGAGAACTGGAAGAAGAGATGATGGAAAAAGCAACACACATATTTTTCCGAAAGATGTCTTCTGCTCTTCACAATATCAACGTACTGCGATCATTACCTGGAGAATTTATCGAGCTCCACGCTAAAGTCGAAGGTGAAACAGCTGGTACAGATCTGACTGCTGGTTGTCCTGTGGAACGGGTCATTTTTCTGAAACCTAATTGCAGGGTTATGCTTTTATGGAACAAATCTGAAATGTTGCGAAATGGAAGTCAAGGAATCTTCCTTCGGATGGAAAATGAAAGTACTGCGGTCGTGCAATTTCCTGAAGTTGGAATTTTAAAGGTTGGTCAGCAAACATGGTTAAAAAGAGATAGACTTGGACAGATAATTGGAACAGTGACCCAGATTCCCTTAACTCCTTCGTATGCCATTACGTGTCACAAGTCACAAGGTCAGACACTCGAGGCTGCTGTGGTACACTGCTCCCAGGAATTTGTCTCTGGTCTCACGTATGTAGCTCTTTCTAGAGTCAAATCACCCCAAAATGTTCAGGTCATCAACTTTAAGCCTCGATTTTTGAAAGAACCTCCTGAAGAAGTCACAATGGAATGTTGGTCAACAGCTCACATTGATAACCTTCATGATGATTTAAATTGCTGTCGAAAGAATAAGATACTTAACCTGGAAAGTTACTTCCTTGTCAGAGACAGGAATGCTATTTGTGATGATGA